TGAGATGGAAATGAGGTAAAGCATAGGGCAGAGGCAAAGGGTATCACAAGAAAAAAGAAAGTTGACTTATTCCAAGGGCTCTTTATATCAATAAAATTGTATGCGATGTTACGAAGATCAGCTGTGAATAAAGGAATGTTAGCATCTTGTCTTTGCTGCATCTGTAAGCAAAAATGTCTATTAAATAGAAGTTAAACTGCTGAAAGATGTTTCATCATCTGCAAAAGGAAATCTGCAAAAAATGTTTCTTGTTATTATAGGAATAAAACCATAAGGTCCCAAACTCAGCCTGACAGACGCTAGAAAAAAAATACAATGCATATTAAAAACCATCAGATGCACACAAAGAAAATACTGACCAAACATAACATTAATACAGCAGTGTTTGAAACTCTGATCTTCCAAGTGACTACACATGACATTGCAATACATCTACATTTAACTGTACACAGGATTTTTACAAAAATATTTGTCATCTGCAGTACTGTTTAAAATTTAGATGGCAAAAAAATCACTTAACCCAAGTGCTTTTACATTATATAAAACCAGTGCAACCTGTTGAAAAAGTGTATATATAAAGCCCATTTCCAGTTAGTTAGAAAAATCAGTGCATCCAACCAAGAAAGGAGAGAGCAACACAGGCACCTAAAAGACCCCGTGAGATTAAGTTTCCCCTTGAGTATTTCTTTAGTGCAATAAGGACCACCCTTTCCACCAAAATAAGCATGGAAGTAGAAAATAGAGGTGTGTTGTTTTGGTTTCTTTTAATTAAAAAAACCCAACCCTGCAAAAAGCAGTGGTATAGAGAACAAAATGATCCTTCCCAACCATATTATACCAGAAGTTGGTCTACGCAAGGATCCAATATGAATCTGGTTTGGTACATGAGACCTTGTGCTCATGTGGATAACAAGTCATCTCCATGATTAAAAATCAGGTTACAAAAAAACCTTACAGAAAATCCTTAGGATTTGATACTAATCGAAGGTAAACCACTTTCAAGTATTACTTTTATGAATTAATTAGAGGATAAGGCATGATTTAAGGTAACATTGAAACAAAAGTCCTATGTTACCCTAAATGACCTTTATAATACAGCTAACTTTGTGCAATCTGTTCAGGATTGGTTTCCCTTACATTTAATTTCTCATCCAACATGCTGCTAAAAAAACCCCAAAAGCTAAAAAAAAAAGCTTTAAAAAAAAGTTCCTATCTCTCTGAACAAAACCACTTTTCTGACAGTGAACAGGTGAAGGCAGATTTCTACCTCTGAGTAACACAACTCACATCACAGACACAGTACTATGCAAAGGACAAGAACAACACAATACTATGCCAGAGAACAAATCTGGGGTATCTCCTGAGTACACAAAAATATGGGTAAAAAAAAAAAACCAACTCAAAGAAAGAAACCCCATAGCCTCCCACCCTCCCTCTCACCCCAACTACAAGGGCAACACACCCACACACACATACAGACACGCAGTTACTGTGTGTAACAGCAGAAGTGCCTACAGCAGCTTCCAGGCAAACTCTACAATTTCAAGCTAAACAGGTAAAATATACTCTGCTTTAAAAAATATCAAAAATTCAGCTCCAAGTCAAAGGGGTTTTTTTTTTATCCCAAGCAGCTAACGTTAAGGGAAAACGATGGAGACCCCCCAAGGTTATTCTGAAATAACCTACAGTTTTACTCTCATCTATATCCCTGCAGTGGAAACCTAACATGGAAGAATTAAAATGCTCAGTCTGCTTGGCATTTTAATGGCTAGAAGCACTTTTTTTTTTTTAACAGAAATTCGGAAATCTGAAGTGAATCTTCAGATTTAAAGTGGGGTACAAACTAGGTACCTGAAGATACCATACAGAAAGGATACTAGCACTTACTCTTCTTTCCCAAAGCCATACTGGAGCTGCGTGTGGGCTGAGAGCAGTATTGCTGTCTAAATTTATTCTCTACAGCTAGATGAACATCTAGGGAGATGAATGTCTGCATGGCAGCTCCTCCAGCCAGGGAGATGCTACAGCCCTGTCCTCCTCCTGCCTAGCACCACTGACACTGTTTCCAAACTGCACATTGTTCCACCAGACACTACATGTGCCACATCAGTTGCTAACACTGTGATGAACCAACGAGCAACATGATCAACTTGAATTATGTGTAAAACCAAAAGAACCCAAACTCTTGAGAACAGTATTACATGACAGACCTTATTTGAACCTGTATATAGCACAATGGAACAAACCTAGAAACCCCATGCCTTGGTCTGACAGTGCATTGTATTTCCCCTCAAAAGTTAAAGTACAGAGTTGTTCTAGGGTTTTTTGAAATTTAAAAAAAGAAGTAGAACATTAAAATACCACAGATCATAATGGCTAATCCAAACTTTTAGTCAAGGTAAAAGATGATTAGTTATAAAGTGAATTCTTCAGTGCTACAAGATGGAAACAAAATAATTGGAGGAAAAAACCCTCTGGCTTCATATAATCACCTACTGGAGTTTCCTATTAAAATAATTATAAAATTATGCTAATAAAAACTGAACAAATAATACACAGATCAGGATATATGTATTGACTTACTAGCATCTTTATAAAAATTTGAAGATATACACAAAAACACATCAACATTTATGGAACTGTATCCATTAAACTTAGATAAGACAACACAAAAAACTAACAAATAGCTAAGATGTGGATGACTGTAAGCACTTTGAGTAACATTTTAATTTTAAAAGGTCAATATTTACAGACTACATCAAATGCCTTTCCTTTTTTTTCCCATTTTGCATCATATTGTGAATTGACCGTAAAGAAAGAACAAGATAATGGTTGCAACAGATCTTCCAAGAAAGTTAACTTAAGATGTTCAGATTTAACTATGTGCTGGAAGAGAACACGGCAAGAAACACGTCCATCTAGCTTTACCTCAGCTTCCTTTTTTTGGGAGGAGTCAATAAATGGATCTAAAAGAGCTGCATCACCCAAACTAATCAAAGTCAAGAGATCCACTTTTAAGCCAGGATTTGAGAACTGAGAAAACACAAACATTTAAACGAGACTCACCTAATTGCTACTTTTGCTACTGAGTTTTTTAAGACACTAGAGAGATGTGGTGACAACACAGGGGGTGAGTATGTATGTATGTATGTGTATAATAAAACAAATATAGACATACATACATATAGTATGTTTACACATAGTAAGATATCCAGGTACTGCAGTAAGCAGCTAGATTAATCCCCAGTGATCCACCCAGACCCTGTCTATGCACAAGCAATAATCTACTGCAACTGCTGTTAAAGAGGATGCATCTCATCATTAAACAGGAATTGCTCACGTCACTCCTACATTTAAATAGATGTGAGGCCATTTCATGTCTTTATTCCAAAGCCACACATTTGTCTCAAGAAAAAAATAATCAAAATTTCAAAACCCAATTGAATAAAAATTTTTAAAACTTAAGTTGGCTGAACCTCAGCCTCTTTGGGATAGATTCAAAACCCAAAGCAGGAGCGTTTCTACAAACTTCTTTGACTTTTGAATCAAACCCATATTCTTAGGCTCCAAGAAACCCTTTAACCCCAATAATGTTTGCTTCTGACAGGACAGCTGATCAACTGCAGATGTTCCTACTGCTGAACTCAGCTGCTGGCCTGTCTGGTGTTTGCATCTAACCCAAATTTCCAGACACGCACTAATATCACTCCACTCCGAGATGTCTTCCCACTCTTCTCATTGCAGAGAAGCTGCTCCCTAACAGTGGGATGAGTAATTGTTTAATGACTTGTTTTAAAGATCAGCATTTATTCCTTAAGAATAAAAATTACATGACCTGAGGAGGCAGTGTAGGGGTCCTAGTGCTGATGGTGTGAGGAGTTAAACAGACCAGGGCTGATCACTTTGCAGGTCTTCAGGGTGAGTTCCCACTGGGCACTTCCTACCTGCTGCTCATGCTCTGTCCTGGGCTTGGGTCTACCCTGAAGCACTAACAGCACTTGATGTATATTAATTGTGCTGGCTATGATAAAGCATTATGCATAAATGGGGTACTAGATGGGTGGGTGTAAACCTCACTTCCATGAAAAAATTCTCATTATGTTACTGAGTCTTGTCACTATGGACTTAAAGTATCCTTTCAATGCCTTTTCCCAGTGCAAAATTTCCAAAATACGACATTATTCTGTGTAATTTCAACGAACAGAGAGCAGGTTTATCTCAAAGCCTTTTGACAGTACTTATTATTCAATCATTATTTTGGGGAAATTCTACTTAATTGAAAATCTGGACCAAAAGTGTAAAAAAGCCAATTAGGTATTTGTGATTTGGTTACTATTAAATCTTTTTAAAAAAAATAAAGTCTATGGTACTATAAATTTGCTTAGCTCATTCCCTGCTTGGCATGCTTGTTTTGGACCCCATTCACAGCAATTTCATTACATACCAACAGTGTTCTTCTGCAGTCACTTGGGAAACAAACCTACAGGGTGCCTGCAAGTTCCCCCTTCAAATAGTAGGTGGAGTGCTTAAGAGTATTCCTAAAATAAAGCATGAATCAAAACCTCACAGCCTAAAAGCTAAGGAAATGTTCATAAAAACTGGAATCCAATATAAAGATGACATTTTAATAAGTTTATTCAGAAGTAACTGAAAAAACTGTTCCTTTGGCAACACCATCTAGATGGTTCTAACCAAAAGGAAATATTATGAATTTTACTTTGAATAAAATGTAAGTTTCTCATGTTTGCATGGAATTTTTGG